GAAACCTCTTTCAGGAAGATTCATGAGGTCAATTTCACTTGAATCTTTCTCTGGTGGTGTATTCATAATTTTGCTTTGAACGAGGTTCCTTTTACATTTCATATTTGCATTGGCACCCTCTAGTGCCCAGAAGCTCTACTCTCTGGAGCTGCTCAGCCCTTGGGGCAATGTTGGGGGTCGCAGGGGAACAGTGTTGGTGCCTGGGGGGAGGAAAGAGCTGTTTCCTGCTTCCCAGCTGCTATGCCTGTCTCCACTGCCTGAATCGGTGGGCAGAGCACACACATATAAGCCTCTATGCTTTGTTTTTGTAGCTGCCAGAGGCAGGGCTTCCCTCTGGTGGGTCTAACACCAGTGTAGCATTTGCCAGTTTGTAAGCCAGGTGGGGCTGGTTGGGAGGAAGGCAGAGCAGGCTGCATATAACGGTGGGGGGCCTTGGAACCGCATAACCAGCCAGAGGGCTGGAGCCTGAAGATTGTGAAAGTTCCCAACCTGCTGGGCAGAGTGTACCTGGACAATTTTGTTTACCTGTCCTTTCTTCTGAGCAGTAAGCTCTGTGCAATCCTTGCCCCTTTAGCAGCCCTCTCGCTGTTAGGAAGTGTCTCAGACTGCCTGCTTTTCTTTTGTCTCAGAGCAACTGGATATGGATCCCTGCTTTCCACAAGTGGCTGGAATCTCAGTTTCCCCAGGTATTCTGCCTGACTTAGCCTTCCAACCTCACTAATCATGAGAACACCATAAAATGTAGGTTTGTGCTCCCATAGCAGATCTCCACAGCTAGGCATTCAGCAGTCCCAGGCCTCCACTCCCTCCCCAGTCCATTTCTCTTCCTCCCACCAGTGAGCTGGGGTGGGGGAAGGGCTTGGGTCCTGCCAGACCACGGCTTTGGTACGTTACCCTGTTCTGTGAGGTTTATTCTTTTCTCCAGGTGTACACAGTCTGACACAGCCCTCTTTCCTGTTGCTCTTTCAGGATTAGTTATATTAATTATATTTTCATATTATATGAGGTTTTAGGAGGAAACCTCTGTCTCACCTCTCTGAAGCCTTTTGTAATTTTCTTAACTAAATGACATTTCTTTTCTAAATCCTCATTGCATATGCTATCATATTACTGACATTTACATTAAACACTATGTTATCATCATTTATGTACTTTTCTTACTATATGATCCCTCCTACTAGTTTGGGTTTCCCAAATTGTTTCTAATATAGTACCTAACAAGCACCCAAAAAACTCACATTGAATTATGTAGACTATAGCACAACATAAATCATAAAGAGATATGGATAAATAGATTTATAACATGATAAGCTTTAAAATTGAGATATTTGCTCTACAGTTTTGAACCTTGTTTTTTGCTCTAAGAAGATTTGAATAAACTGCTTATCAAATAGTAATTTTCTTTTGTAAAATAAATGAATAAAGCAAATGATGCCTTTATCCAAGAAATGTGGAACATATACTAAGAAAATGGGATATGAAGAAAATGGGATATGAAAAGCTGATAGTCCTCCTAGCTGAAAGGTTCTAGTTATTAATGGTACATCATTAACTGTGAGGAAAATGAATATTTAGAGGGAATGCCAAGATTCATGATGTCCCTGTAGCATCATATAGCATAAGTTCCTTTGTATTATAAACAAATTTAATTTATATTATTTGACATAGTAAATGACACCACACCAGAAGATGAAATGATTATTTAAACTCATCAAAATAAATAGAAGTACTCCTCAAAAGCAGTAGAACAACAAAATCTCAGTCAAATAAAGATATATAAATATGTGCATTGTGAATTATCAGGATGGAGTGTTCCACAAGCTAACCAATTAGATGAAGATATTTCAATTGCATGGAGAGAACAAAGTATGTAAATATTGATTATCTTTCCTTCAGAATTTTAAATGTTTAGAACATGAAAAGAAATCTAAAGGCATAATACCTTAAAGTGAGAAAATCAAGTGTATAATAAAAGATTAAAAGTACTTTATTTCTCAGTCTTAAGAGTGCCAACTGCCAGGAGGTTTAATACAGAACAGGAATAGCAGCTTCACCTGGGGACCTTTGAAAAATGCAGGTGCCCACCCTATAATGAATTAGGAACTTGGAGGTGGGGCCCAGCAACTGAGCTTTAACAAGCCTTCCAGGTGATTCTGAAGCACACTGAAGTGGAGAACCAGTCATTAGGAGTACCCATATCTAGTAGGAAAACTTGACAGAAGCATACGATTAAATACCTTAACCAACTGCTAAATCCACGCATGTGTAAGGACTGAGGGCAGGAGAGCCAAAAAGGTCTCTGAACATGTTCAGATATACTACTGAATGCTAAGGTTTTAGGGTTAGTATTGTCACTAGCAATCACACCCCATAGTTTCCTCTTTAGTGTTTCCCAATTTGGGAAGATGAAGGGAGTAAAGATCTACTCCTGGTTTGATATCCACAGGAGATTTCCATAGTTTCTAAGTTACAGTGCTGGGAGGCTTTCTAGGAGACAACTATCCATCTTTCCTCTCATGGTAAATGTGGCAATCTCTCCTGATTTAGATACTGACAAACCCTACACTGAGTGGCAGCTATGATATATGTACTTTAGGAGTACTTTTCCTTGTTCCAATTAGTAATACATCACCCTCTGCCTCTATAATACTGTCAAAGGCTCTAAAAGCAAGCTGTCAGGTAAGTAAGAAGTATTGACTGCACTAACTGGGTAACTTAAAATAAGCATGGCTAGATTAGACAATAACAAAATAATCCAAAAATTATGATTAAGAAACCAGGCAGAAAGAATAACACTATCCAATACTTTTTTAAACCTTTAATATATACTCTTCATACACCATCACTCTGGTTGTCTTCAGATTTCTTTGCAAGTTCTCCATATTCTTATTAAATTCTAAAGGAAACTATCAATCCTTAATGTATTTTATATGTGAAATCACACTCATAAAAAAAATCAGTTATCTACCTACTACAAAGGAGATGAAAAAAACCTGTCTCCTAATTGATAGTGGAAAGGAAGGCATTCTCACAATTATCAACATCTACCAGAATGTCTCCAACTATTAATTATATATTAATCCACTGGATTAAGTCTGTAAACTTGCCAAGTATTTGGTGTTCATTGACCAAGTTGTTCTCATTTTCACATAAAAAGAACTGATTTAAACTAGAGAAAGGATTAAGTTACCTAGTTTTAACTTTAATGGTATTAGATTGTATTAAACAGTGAAAGTTATAGTATTTTTCTCCTTTAAGGGAAAAGGAACAAAATATTTACCAAGTTAGGATAACATGGGAGTGCATAGGCATTATATAGACATTATTTCATCCTTGATACCACTACCATCATCCATTGTTTGCAAATAAAGACACACCAAGGATCAGAGAGGTTAAGTCATTTCTTCTTTATTCACACAACTACTTAGTGGCAGGACCAAGATGCAAACCAAAGTTGATGTGACCACAGACTCCATTTTTTCTCAACATACCATGTTGCCAACTGGTGATGGAGGTTCACAATAGAAAAGATGAGATAGATGATAGCTTCCTATTCCTTTATTCTATTTACTACTGCTGAATTGACTTACGGTCACTGGAACTACTTCTACATTGAGTTCATCTCCAAACCTGACACTGATCTCCCCATTCTCCAGATTCTTCATTTTATGTACTATTTATTTTGGCACCCAATCACACTCCATCTTAAAATGTTACAGTAAATATATTCGTATTTTATTTCTGCAAAAACAGGGAGAAATGCCTTTTACATTTCTATGTCCTTCAACAGTGTCCAGTGTCCAGTACCCAGGGTGGATTTGATGTGCTATTTATCTATGTGTTCCCCAGAGATTAGCATAATGTTACACAGCAGGGGATCAACATACGCTTGATCAAAGAAGTAGAATGAACTTTTTACTAAAGCTTGTAGATTCAATGCCACTAATTTTTAATTATAGCTGTGGGTAAAATTGCAATATTTCCAGAATATTTCACCTGTCTTTAGTACATCTGCATATCAGTAGGCATTCAGAGATGGAAAGAAGTATCGCTTTAGTGCATTTGCATCATTCCTCAGGGGTGGAGAGAGAAGTTCATCTCCATATCAACGGGCAAGAAACGGCTTATCTGTACCTGAGAGGGGAGGGGAGGGCAGGTTTTGCTTCTCCTGCGGCAGGAAAGAAAGAAGGGCTCGGACCGCAGTTTGTAAGCAATAACTGAATTTTAAACTTTATTTCTCCCTTTGACTGATTTCAGTTTTTAGAAGTATTTTGCCCCGGGATTTCCTCTCCCCGAACTTACAAGCTCCTTATGGATATTTGTTGGATTTTACCAATGATCTTAGAAGACAGAAAACAAGCCTAAAATGAAGAAAGCAATTTTAAGCATCTGATAAAGCAAGATTTGGTGCACTCGTATTTAGCTACCTAATGTCGGTATCCCATAACATTATAAAGTTTTAATTCCCGTTTCTTATGTGCAATGCTAGCTTTTACAACTAGGCTGTGCAGCCCTAGGGCGAAATACTTCAGTTCACCCCTTTAAAAGGGAAAAGCAACCTGATAATAAAGGATTTATAAGGCACAAACAGCATCCAAGACATGCAAGATGAGACCAACACTGTCATGATTACTTTTTAAGTCGTCGCTGATTTCCCTGCGGCCACAGCAAACCTTTCTTCTGCAGCAAGTGTCCTGAAGGAAGCATCAACTGCTGAACCACTCAAACTGACCCCACAAAACGCCTTTCTAAAGGAACTGTTGTTTCTTAAATCGCACATCAGGCGGAGGGGGAAACCAGGCACCTGCGCTAGACAGTCGGGCTCGGGCACTTGTTTTCATGAGCACCACCGAACGAGCACCTCTGCGGCGCCGGAGTCATAATTCTGTCCCCAGCTGCCACTCGGGGAAGGCTCGGTCGAGGCCAGAGACAGCCTCCGACAGCCCCCGCGCGCGCGCCGTCTCCCGCCGCCGCGCCCCCGCCCTCAGCGCTCGCCGCACCTGCAAATCCCGCGCGCTTGGTGGCGCGGGCCCAGAAGACAGCCTCTCCTGCTCGCCCGGCTCAGGGCCGCCGCCTTCCGCCATCTTTCACCTGCTCGCCGGCGCCTGCTGCCGACGCGCCGCCTGCGACTTCCAGGCTGGTTGCCTGGTAACCGCGGGGCGGGGCCGGCTGCGCGCGCCCCTCTTCCGGCGCCAGCCCACCTATTCCGACCCCATTTCCTTGAAGGAGGAAACTGATGAGACGTCCTCCGCATAGAACGCTTTGGCGAGGGCATCCTGCTACGTCTGCTGTATGCCCGAAGGTGCTGTAGGCCGCCCTAGAAGGCAGCATCGATTTTGCGGGTTCTTTTAACTCAACAACGAAAACTGGGTATTTTTTCTGATAAAAATTACATTACTAAACTGTCAAGGACTAGGTGGTACATCTCCCCCACGGCGTGAATTGGTTTTGAGGAAGAACACTGTAAACTCTTTAATCAGAACCGGAGACTACTAAACTCTACGTTCACCTGAGAGTTATTTAAATTCTTGTTTTATTCCAGGGACTTTTATGCTCTGAAATGCAAAAGTAGAAAACAGTAGCCCCCGGCCATTATAAAACCCACAGTCTAGTGGGGAAAAAAGAGATGTACACAGATAATAATATGCAATTTGCAATGGAACTTTAAGAAAATGTTAGAAGTGGAATGTGGGGCGTGAAGGGGAATATATTGTTGGTGTGTGTGCGCACTGTGCACAGTGTGTACTTGTCTCTCTTCCTGCCAGGTATTATTACCGTGTTGCACTTGAGGAAATGAGATGATAAATAATGACTAAATTCACCTTGTTGGAAATAGTGGTACCAGATAGCAGATCTTGAATTTGTTGTCTCAGTATTCTTTGTAATACAACATTCTGCCCTAGAACTCTGGCTGTTTTACGTCCCAGAGCTTGGCTAAATCTTGTAGGTTAAGTACTTCCAGTAGAGTGGATCAAAATGACCACAACAAAAGTCATAGGCTTGAGAGATAATGTTCGTGTTGATTAAGTTCTACATGGTTGAAACTTAGGAGAAATGACAAAAGGTGGTTATGGGGCGGGTGGGGGCGGCGCGGATCTAGACTGTAGAAGTAGCCTTAGGGCAGACTCTGAAGGATCTTGCCTCAGTGAAGAGATTGGACATTACTCTCTGAGCCAATAATTCTCAAAAGTTCCTGCACATTAGAACCTCCTCTGCTGCTCTTCCTCACACCTGAACTCAGATTTAATTAGTGTTGGGTGGGTCTCAAGCATCACATATTTGAAGAGGATACCCAAGTGGACTTTGCTTCTGGCCATGACAGCATACCTGGTACTGAACTTGCTCTTCCCATTCCCAGCAATTTTAAAAATCTAGGCAAAATATACAAAACAACTGTTTCCAGACATTGAATAACAAGCAGTTCAGGTCTGTGATATCCAGAGAAGGGAAACAAGCAAAATGAGCTGTGTTTGCCCTGATTTTCTGCCTGGAGCTCTCAAGCATTGTTGGTGAGAATGGAGAATGGTACAGCTACTTTTGGAATTAGTTTCTTCTAAAGTTAGAAATTCAGTTATAAGACCAAGCATTTCCACTCCTAAGTATTGACCCAAGAAGAACAGAAACATGTTCACAAAAATATCTACACCCAAATATTCATAGAAACTTTACTTATAATAGTCACAAACTGGAAACAATCCAAATGTCCATCAATAAATGAAAGGATAACATTTTGATGAGTTCATACAATGGAATTCTACTTAACAGTAAAAAGGAAGAAATTACTGATTCATGCACCATGGACGAATCTCAAAGACATTATCTTGAGTAAAAGAAACCAGATGCAAAAAAGTAAATGCTGTCTGATTCAATTTATATGAAATTCTAAAACAGGCAAAACTAATGATTACTGACAAAAGGCTGTTGGTTGCTTGGGGTTTTCTCTTTGGGGAAGGATACCTTTGGGGAATTTGACTGAAAAAGGACATAGGAGCTTTTTGAGGTGATGGCTATTGTGGTGTTAGTCATACAGGTATACAGGCACATTGGAGATAACACAGGTTCATTTCCAGACACTACAGAAAAGCTAATATTGCAATAAAGAAATGAACTTTTGGTTTTCCAGCACATATGAAAGTTATGTTTACACCATATTTAGTCTATAAATTGTGCAATAAAAAATAATCTTTATTTTGCAGATAAGTATGTATCTTAATTTAAAAAATAATTTATTGCTAAAAAATGCTAACCATCAGATGAGCTTTCACCAAGTCATAATCTTTTTGCTAGTGGGAGGATTTTGCTTCAGTGTTGATGTCTGCTGACTGATCAGGGTGGGAGTTGCTGAAGGCTGGGGCAGCTGTAGAAATTTCTTAAAACAATAATGATATTTGCTGCATCTATGGGCTCTTCAGTTTGTGAATAATTTCTCTATATCATGCCATGATGTTTGATAGCATTTTACCTAAAGTAGGACATCTTTCAAAATTGGAGTCAATCCTCCAACCCTGCTGCTTTATCAACTAAGTTTATGTAACTTTCTAACTCATTTGTTGTCATTTCAGCAATCTTCACAGCATCTTCACCAGGAGTAGATTCCACCTCAAGAAATCACTCATCCCTGATCATGATAACAGATATAATAATATTGAAAAGTTTGACATATGGCAAACATTACCAAAATGTGACAGAGATACAAAGTGAGCAAATCCTGTTAGAAAAATGGTGCCAATGTACTTGTTTGTTGCAGAGTTGCCACAAGACTTCAATTTGTAAAAAATGCAGTATCTGCCAAGCAAATACACAATAAAGCAAAGTGTGATACAACGAGGTATACCTGCACATTTGTTAAAAACACACTGAGCTAATACTTAAAACAGGTGAACTTTATGGTATGTAAATTATGCATTTATAAAGATGGTTGAAAAAACCCTTCCCCACATAATTCTGTTGTGCAGCAGTGATGGAAGGCACTGATCTAATCACTGATCTGAGGCAACTGGATCCATTAAAGGATTTGTGTGATTGAGAAAGATCACAGACATCAATGTGTGGGATAAATCAGAGTTAGGAAGCTAGAAGGTTATTGCGACAATAAGAGGTGGGTGATTAGGACTCAAGTTTTGTCAATCGCAGTGAGTACAAAGAGAAGCAACAGTAGGGATATTAGGGTCAGGCCCACTAGGTTTTGCAGTCATACATGGGGAATATAGGAATAAAGAATGACATTTGGGGTTTTGGTAAGGGGATTTGATAAACGGTGCTTACCATTTACATTTACAATGTAAATTACTGTGTTGAAAGGGAGAGGCAAACTTCAAAAGAAAGAAATAAGCCTAATTATGGACATTTTCAATTTCAAAAGCATGTGGGACACTAGGGTGAAATACATCATGGAGCAATTGCAAATACGGGTCTAGATATCAGTAGACTAGGACAGTTTTGGTTTGGAGATAGAGATTTGGGACTGTCTGCATGTAAGTGGTAGAGTAGATGAGGCTTCCAGTGGCAGTGGAAATGTGAGAAGATAGGAGGACCCAGCATACTCAGAAGCACCCACATTGAAAGGCTCACTGGAAAAATTAAATTTTCAGGGATTTTACAGGCAATGGTTAAACAGCCATTACTAAAAATTAAATTGTACATATTACAATGAAATTATAAATAATGTAATAAATACTCAAAAATAATTATCTCCTAATTGTTTAAATACATTTTATTACTATTTGTGCTCTTGAGGTTATTTATATTTATTGAATCTATATGGTGGCAGTGCCACATAAGGCCATGCTACTGCACAACTCTTCCCAACTCCACCTTCAGTGACAACATGTTGGTAGCTTGAAAGTCTCCAGGGTGAGAATCTTTACACCTCAGAAATTGGCAAATACTACAGATAAGAGCTTGATATATTTTGTCCATTGTCTACTCTAGATTTAAGAGTGGGGTGAAGAAATGTTTACATAGTAGTGAAGACTTCAAAGTGTTCTCTGTCTGTAGCTGTTCTGTGGATAGCAAACAAAAATTAAAAGGACGTTCTCATCCAGGAATTTAAAGTTGTTAGCTGACTTGGGAAATGAAGTTCTCATTTCATGTCATTGAGTTACTAAGCATGTATGGATTGTTTTATTCACATCTTCTCAACATGAATGAAAATATCTACTGATGTTCACATGGTCCCCCTCTCTTTTCATTGTGATGAAAGCTGTAGCACCTCTTCCCATTCTTAACCAAAAAATGTTATCACAAATAGTTCACTCCTCCTCCATTCTCTTCTTTTATATTCTCAAAGTAGTTGAGGGCTTCAAGAATCATGGAATTTATTCTATATGAAATATCCCCTGGGAGCTTCTGCCACACACTTGCTTCAGCATTTGTGTTGTTTCTTGGGGTATTTACACTGAAAACTTAATTCTAATACCTTCTTACACTTACTTTTTCCTTCCATTACATTGAAAGATCATAGAGGCTATGCCCACATCTTTATTTCTAGTGCCTTAACATGGAACCTGGAAAATAATACATACTTTCAATAAATATATGAATGAATGACAGAAGGACAAAAGGAAGGTCGGAAGGAAGGAAGGAGGTAGGTATCATAACTCAAACCCATTTGACTAGCTCCAAAGCCCATTTTCCATTCATAGAAAGTCAAAAAATAACAAGATATATCAATGGAGATCATCATAATATATGGACAGGAGAGAGAGTAAAATGCAGGCCTGTTCATTCACCTTGGATTAAAATAAACTGTATCTGACTCCAGCTTCCCAACATAAGTGAAACTCACACTTGTGTGATTTTACTTATGCTGGAACATCACTGAGGCCAAGATCAAAGCTCACTGTAGTCCACAATGGCCTTATTTCATCCTTTAAAACATTTTAATCTTGGCCTTTTAACACTTACAGAATACAGAATATTCATAGCTCAGATCGATTCAAGATGGCAACGGGAGAGATGAGACAGAGAATTCCACTCAAAACAACATATAGTGCAAAAATATAGTTAATACAACTAATCCTAAAAGAGCAACAGGAAAGAAGGCTGCACCAGACTGCACACACCTAGAGAAAAGAGCAGACCTCATAAAAAAGGGTAATGTACCCAAGCCTTGATCCAGCGGGACTCAAGCCTTTCCCCTACCCCAGCTCACCAGCAGGAGAAAGAGAATAGAGCGGGGAGGGAGTGGAAGCCTAAGACTGCTGAACACCCAGCCCTGGAGATACACTTTGGAGCACAAACCTATATTGTGTGGTGCTCTGGAGGTTGGTGGGATTTGGAAGCTGGGACAGGTGGAGTGCTTGAGAGACTGAGATTCTGGCCATTTGTGGAGGATGGGGCTCCACATCGGGCTGCTCTGGGACAAAGCAAAGGTGGTTAGTCTGAGAGGATTCCTAGCAGAGAGAGGGCTACTGAAAGGGTGGGGATTGCATGGAGCTTCCTGCATGAGAAAAGGGATAGGTGGACAAGGTTGTCTGGGCATGCTCTGCCCAGCAGGTTGGGAGTTTTGAGGAGCTGCAGGCACTCCATCCCTCTGGCTGGCTACTCAGATCTGAGGGCCCCCCACCGTGAAATGCAGCCTGCTGCACCTTCCTCCTTGCCTTCCAGCACCAATTTGCAAACCGGCAGTCACTGTGCTGGCCAGCCAGAGGGAGACCCTGCCGACAACAGCTAGAGATGCAAAGCACAGAGGCTTACACCAGGTGCTCCCGCCACTGGCTCTAAGACTGGAGACAGGCACTGTAGCCGGGAAGCAGGAAACAGCTCTTTCCTCCCCCCAAGCACCAGCACCACTCCATTGCAAGCCCCAACTTTACTCCAGGGGCTGAGCAGTACCAGAGAGTAGAGCTTCTGGGCACAAGACGGTGTCACATAGAAATATGAAACATCAAAGGAAACTGATTCAGACCAAAATCACACAAATCCCAGAAAAAGGGCCAAATGAAACTGAATTCACCAATCTTCTTGAAAGAGAGTTCAAAATAATAGTCATTAACATGCTCGTGGAGGTACAGAAAAATATTCAAGAACTCAGGGACAAATTTAAGAGAGAGATTTAATCATTAAGAAACTCCACATCTGAAATGAAACATACAATGGAGGGATTTAAAAGCAGATTAGATGTAGTAGAAGAGATGGTAAATGGAATAGAAATTAGAGAAGAATACAAAGAAGCTGAGGCACAGAGAGATAAAAGGATTTCTAAGAATGAAAGAATATTGAGAGAACTGTGTGACCAATACAAATGGAACAGTATTTACATTATAGGGGTACCAGAAGAAGGAGAGAGACAAAAAGGAATAGAAAGTGTCACTGAGGAGGTAATTGCTGAAAACTTCACCAGTCTGGGGAAGGAGATAGTCTCTCAGGCGTTTGAGGTGTACAGATCTCCCAACACATGGGACCCAAGGAAGACAACATCAAGACATATAATAATTAAAATGGCAAAGATCAAGGATAAAGACAGACTTTAAAAGCAGCTAGAGAGAGAAAAACAATAGACACAAAGGAAAACCCATAAGGCTATCATCAGATTTCTCAACAGAAACCTTACAGGCCAGAAGGGAGTGGCATTATATATTTAATGCAATAAAGCACAAGGTCCTGAACCCAAGAATACTCTACCCTGCAAGGTTATTATTTAAATTTGAAGGAGGGATTAAACAATTTTCAGATAATCAAAAGCTGAGAGAATTTACCTGCCACAAACCACCTCTACAGTGCATTTTGGAGGGACTGCTATAGATGGAAGTATTCCTAAGTATAAATAGCTGTCACCAGGGGAACTAAACCACATCAAAGAAAGTAGAACAATTAATTACTAAGCAAATACAAAACCAAATCAACTACCCACAAAGTCAATCAAGGGATAAATGAAGAGTACACACTATAATAGCTAATATATAAAGAATGGAGGAGGAAGAAAAATGAACAACAAAAGAAGAACCTTTAGGTTGTGTTTATAATAGCATACTAAGTGAGTTAAATTAGACTGTCAGACAGTAAGGGAATTACCCTTGAACCTTTGGTAACCACAAATCTAAAGTGTGAAATGACATTAAGTACATACCTGTGGATAATTACCCTAAATGTAAATGGTCTGAATACACCAATCAAAAGACATAAAGTCACTGAATGGATAAAAATACAAGACCTCACTATATGCTGCCTACAAGAGACTCACTTCAAACCCAAAGACATACACAGACTAAAAGTGAAGGGATGGAAAAAAATATTTCATGCAACTAATAGGGACAAAATAGCAGGTGTTGCAGTACTTGTAACAGAAAAAAAATAGACCTCAAAACAAAGAAAGCCACAAGAGACAAAGAAGGACATTACATAATGATAAAGGGATCAATTCAACAAGAAGATATAACCATTATAAATATCTAAGCACCCAACATAGGAGCACCTACATATGTGAAACAAATACCAACAGAATTAAAAGGGGGAAAAGAATGTAATGCATTCATTCTAGGACACTTCAACACTCCACTCACTCCAAAGGACAGATCAACCAGACAGAAAATAAGTAAGGAGACAGAGGCATTGAACAATGCATTAGAACAGATGGACCTAACAGACATCTACAGAATTCTCCACCCAAAAGCAGCAGGATACACATTCTATTCAAGTGCACATGGAACATTTACAGGAATAGATCATATACTAGGCCACAAAAAGAACCTCAGTAAATACAAAAAGATTGAAATTCTACCAACCAGCTTCTCAGATCACAAAGGTATGAAACTAGAAATAAATTATACAAAGAAAACAAAAAGCCCACAAACACATAGAAGCTTAACAACATGCTCCTAA